TGTTTATTTTAAAAGCAGCTTCAAGTTCAGACTTATTATGTTTTAACCTTTATTGCATATAATCGCGAGAACTGCGTTTGACGACCTTTGACTACAATCCAAAGCACCCTATGGGGCAGGAAGGAGATCAGCTGTAGACCTGGTTTAAGKGTCATKTTAACCCATCATMGCAAATACAATAACACCGTACATTGAGGCACCAATGATTAACATCATTCCTACAGCAACGGCCGAGAGTGCCCAGTACCTAGCATTCTTTGACTTAGTAACCGAGACTTCTTTCTTGCCTTTTTCGTAGTTTTGGTCGACCTATGTGATAATCACACCAGTATCATTTTAAAACCAGTCAATCAATCGACSTGTTGTGAAGTATTATTGAAAAGAAGCTTGTCCATATAATAGACATAATGATGTATGGCGATTTTAGAGTTCGAGTATTTGAGAACATTTTTTCACAACTCTTAGTAACCATCAGGTCACGTGACCCCTACCTACCCTAAACAAGCTTYGACATCTAAACTAACTCCAGAAATGAAAAGAGCATCTAGTCAGCTACATTTTGTTAGCTGGAATTTCGCGTTATTAAGAATCCGATATGCTGCTTTCATTTCGTGAGTTTTGTTATTTCTATTTCTACTTGATAAGGGTATTGAAGAMCACGCCCTTTTGGAAAAGATTGCTTGAAGTTTAAGGCGTTCTCATTTGCTACATTTTGAACATTTATGCTCCGAAAAAAAGTATAAAAACCTTATAAAATCTACTTTAATCATTACAACTAGAGAAACAATAGCAATCATCATATCACTAAATAACTGCAACTTTACCTGAACTGCAAAGATAACAGCAACTAARCCTATCATTGGACAACACAAACAACTAAAAATCGACAGGAACAAGTGATTGTCTGGTTTAGGCACATAGCGACTCTGAAAACAACAAAAGATGGCTTGAAAGGGACAGCATTAAAACGAAACACACAGAAACCTTATACACCTACTTGCAGAAACGTTGTCATAGAAAATAGAACATTCGAATTTAGTAAAAAGGAATAAATTAAAACAAAACAAAAGAAAGCGTTCAGCCTCAGTCACCTTCTTTTGTCTTTATAATTTATTCCTTTTTACTAAAATACAAATGTCCTATTTTTTATGACAACGTTTTCGCAAGTAGGTGYATATTAGCTTGTTTACATTCAGAAAATATTTCCCTAGCTTGCAATGCTCTTTTTTCTTTGTTGCCAGCGCAAAACACGTATTGAGRTGCATAGTGTGGAGGAACAAGATGCAGATGATTCAACTGATGTAAATTACCAATAATCAACCTAGTCAAACTAATTGCCTGTCAGCTTACCATTTTTCCTGCAGCAGAAATCCGAACAGACTCCGAGTCATCACCGGAAGGCACTGATATAATGCGATCCCGACTTTTACAAAGATATCGTTCATATTTCCCCAAATCTGTCATGCCGGGCAAAGTACTGTTGGCTCCTATTCGGTTCGAATCGCTAATTTTTGAMACTGCTATTGAGTGCCTTCGCATTTTGTCRGAATGGGCAGTGGTGCACAGTTTTGTTTGATGACGGTCTGATGATAMTTSAGGGGATGGTTTTTGGGAAGAGATCCTCAATTCAAGGTCACTTGTGTGATGGTATCCATTATTATCAACGCCTATTCGAGGGATAACAAATCCTGGACTTGTCGTACAATTTCCCGTCGAATTATCAATGTTTTCAGTAGAGTCGTAACTGTGCCSGCTAAACTTCGGGCTATGTTGTAATCGATAATCCAATGGAAACGATCTACAGTTTTTAACAGGAGTTTTGGGTGGCTGAGTTTGAATATCCTTTTTTTCCTTTACGGCCGAAGATTTATCGATCTCTAATTGACATTCAGAGAGATCGTTTGCCTCCGTTGGTAGCCGGATACTTGGCAAAGGTTGTTTACTTATGTACTGAGCTGGCATTGATTGACGTCTYGTCCTATTGCTTCCGTAGCGACCACTATCTCGCAAATATCGAGGCAGCTGTGCAGATGGTATCGCTGTCGGAGCCACAGTCGCTCGTCTTTGCTTGATTCGCGTGCTTGACAATATCTCGCTTTCATCGAGTTGTAAATCATTGTCACCAGTTAAATTACCTTCATCTGCATCAACTTTGATCACTAAAAATGTAAACATGGTAATAATAAAATAAATAAACACACTCATCCCTATGGTTAYCACAGGTAATCCAATCTCATCTTGGAAAATTGTTCTTTTACTTTTTCACAAAAAGTGTACCCTCTCCCATCCCCCTCCCCTCCTATCTCTCCGTCGTCCCTGAAGATCCTGAAGAATTAGAAAAAGTTAGGAATCATGAATGGAATCATAAAAAGACATAAAAGAAACTGGGGCCCCWCCAACAAAATATCTAGGGGTCTGCCCCTCCCCACCCCCCAGATAACGGCATCGTTTTTGTACATAAAACATAAGTGTATGTTTATTACTATATAGTTTCGTATATGCATTTGCAAAAGTTGATGTGACTTCATCACTATATAAGCTTCATAATTATGCCCACCAAGTCAATTTTGCAGGCCCTATCACTCCTGAATGCTGCCCTTTTATGCCATATATATAGCCGTAGAACCATAGTTAATGATTTTTTCTCTGATGACATGTATTATACCGCAGACCTAACTTATTCTTTAATTTCTTTCTTTTTATAGGTCATTTGCAAAGTGTTGTAACTACATCTACCAGAAACCCTCGCACATTCCATTGCTATTCATATTTATCATATTCATCTGTTCGGCTGAGAAACCCGGTGATGTCTCGTTAAGGCTGATTTACACGGTACGATTTGTCGCGCGCGACTTGTAGTATACGATTTTTCCTACTAMAAGCTCACACTGTTGGCCATCTTGCAATTCAAACTTCTATACGACTTGCAAGCATTCGAAAAAATCTGAATACCATATTAAAATCCATTAATGTAAACACAAGTACACATACTTACCTGTATTTAAGGTTGTCATAGGTGTCTTGATTTTACTTTTGTTCGTATAAGTACCGTATTACTATCAACCAGCATTTGGATATCTCAGGACACAAACCTAAAACAATATGAGAAGAGTGATTTTAAAATACACTGATGTTTTTTTAAATATACTGATATATCAATGCTGTTAATTAAAAGATGAAGTACGCAATGTACACAAAGACCTTAGAGATGAATGCTCAACACTACGCTACGTGGCTTCTACTCATGCTATATCTGTTCTCCGAAACCACCTATACAATGATATGATGCGAGTTCATTCCAGCAAACTCTCTCGTCTTATATCAAAGAATGGATGTTAATGAACATATCAAAAACATTCCGTCTTATCGCCTATCATTTTTCGAGAAACTTTTGTTATGTCGAGGTCGGAAGTTTTCAATACCTCAAAAGGTTTCTTCAATAGAAGTACAAGCTACAGCTTTGAGAAGCTACATTGGAGAGCCTATGACAAGTTGCAGGATGCTGACTTGAAAAAATTGGCTTGTTCCACGTTACGATCTATAGCCTTAAACTACATCCAACGAAAGACACCCAATCCACCCAAGGCTCTTATTCAAGCTATCAATCGTCTTAAAAAACGCGACGACATTGTTATAACAAAGCCTGACAAGGGTTCTGGAGTTGTTATAATAGATAAGAATGATTGTCTACGTCTTCTCCGCCAAGCTTCAGTTGAAATTCACGCCTATCGATGACCAGAGTATCAAAACACGTGGCCGACGTTTTTCTTTGTATACTAAATGGTCTTCATGACAACATTAAATTCACAATGGAACGTTCAACTAACAACTCAATCTCATTCATTGGTATTGAAATCACGAAGGATGGTAACAAATTGCAGACAGGTGTTTACCGAAAGCCTACGAACTCTGGTTTGTTACTTCACTTTCAAAGTCATACTGACAATCGCTACAAACGTTGTTTGCTGAAAACAATGCTGAATGCTAAATCGTGCGAAAGAGCTGTCTTCCACGCGTGAATGTTTCCTAGGGTACCCTGTTGAAATGATAAACACTACCATCAACATGTTTACGAACGATACTACAACAACAACAACAGACTCTACCAAGACGACTTCAGTAAATGTGATGGTATATCCTTACTTTTGCATTTTATCTCACTTGATAACGACGTTTGATAACGTCGAAACGTCGTGTAAAAATTTTATCAACTAAAATGTATTATCACAGAACTTTATTGTTAAATGCTGTTATTAAACTAGTAAATACCACACTTTGGAGACCCGAATCGTCGTCAGCTTCTTCCGAGGATGCTTTTAAACAAATCACTTGCCGAGGACATAATTAATAGAGGGGAATGGATTGGAAATYTTTTGTTGTACTTCTTTTTATACATCTTTTCTAAGTATTTTGAGGTTGAATCAGTCAAGGCCGTGCACAATTTTTGGACAGAAATTGCAAAATGAGTGAACATAAAGGCTCTTTATGAGATTATGAAATCATAGTTAATAGAGAGGACTGGTTATGAAACCCGGCGAACATCAAAGGGGCAATGCAATTCTCGGTTTGCACGTGACGTCATCAGTCGAAAAAAAAATCTTAAATCACAAACACACAACATTGCAGCACTAAAATACCTTGAAGAGCATGATAGAAGTTCTCTCCGAAAGTTTAAACTTTTTTTGCTGTTTATTCGTTGAGTTATTAACGTTCAAAAATATGTCACGCAATACTGTCACGCGACTTGAAACGCGACAAATAAACCTCAGAATATAGTCTCAGCATTAAATTAAATGTTTAAAATGTTATTGTTGTAAAACTAAAGCAAAATCATTAGTTTTGACCTCAATTCGACGCTCGGAGTTACTGTCCGCCATGTTCGTGTACTGGATTAGTACACTGTCATGGCTTTCCATACATTCCCTTGTAAAGTAAGACCTTATTCAAACGCTTATATTTTTGCTACAAAATTTCAGTTTGACTTCAAACTTTGCATAACTGTTGGGAATTATATGTTGTTCTTGGCCTTGGATATAAAATATTCATTTCGATCTTAAAACAAAGATTTTTGTAGGTATTTCTTGACCAGTCTAAAACGCATTGAGCCGTGATAATCCCATACATTCTTACCAATTTTCGATYGCTCGTATTTCTGTTAAAAAGCATTATTTTCGCTCGAAATTTCGTAGTGATCCTTTAATTTAGATTTTCTCTTGAGGACAATAATAATATTCCGCTAATTGTGCCTCTAAATAGCATTTTTAGAATATCACGTGATCAGTGCAAACCGAGAATAGGCCCGCTCTCGATGTTGAACGTACCGGTCACGTGATCACGAGAGTGCACACTCGCCACGATAACAACAAACCGAGCCAAGCTTCGGGCCATTCAAGATGCCTTTCGTCCACAGCTATAGGCAATTTCTAAAGACCGATTCCTTTCGTACGTCTACACGATCCACAGCCAAAAACCGCACAGTTGCGGCCTGGCATCGTATATAATAAATCTAACTAATTAAAACTATAATAAAAACACTATATATGATCATAGTTAATAATTAACTATGATATGATAAAAATCTAAGTAAAATATCGCTTGTTGTCACTAATCTTTGCTATACGCTTTCAAGTCTGAGATGTGCACTCTCTTGATCACGTGATCGAGTCAAAACTATAACATAGAGATCGCTCTTTGATGTTCGCCGGGTTTCATAACCAGTCCTCTCTGTTAGCTATGATGAAATGAAATATTTCAATATTGATCACACATTTTTAGTCAAAAGAAATAATTTTCGCTCTGTTCATTCATTGACCAGTATAGCTAAAACAATAGTTAAACAAAAGATTGTGAATGAAGGGTCCTGTGAAGGGGTGTCTGATCCCATTTCCCAGTCTATTTTTTTTGTCAAAATCTAATTACCAGTTACATATTTTAAAATAATCCCACACTCATTAAAATATTTAATTTTCAAAATAAACAAATGAATTAACGTTTCTGAAATGATAAATTTTGTGGCCATTTAGGGTTGCTTATGTTTAGTTATGTCGTTTTTGTACTATAGAAGGCTTTTTCAAGCGGGAAGCTGTATAGTAATATAAGTGAGTCATTTTTGTGTAAATTGCTACGCCAATATTTTTTAAATATTATTTCTAKATTTTTTTACGTCCTTTGAGATAAATTAAAGATAAATCCCACTCCTATTAAATGTTCTGGTTCCCATTCCCTGTAATCACAAATCCCAGTCCCAGTGCATCCAATCTCATTTTCCCAGCCAAAAATCAGGCAAATCTCAGTCCCATTTTACCCCTTCAGGACCTTCTGCATGGTCATACTTGGAAAAAAGTGCACAAAAACCTACAACAAAAGCCTTGCTAACCATTTCCCTCTACAAACTATGCCGAAAACAATATAACTCAGAAACCTTGACCGAACTATCAGGCGTGTGACATCATTGGATTAGTGATTTTTGTTTGATTGATGGTTCGGTTACTGCCTGATTCAAGAAATGAGAATGCTGTGGGATATTCACTGCGAAATCATGGTCTGTAACTSCTATTTTTTWAAAAAAGCAGAGCAACAACACTGACTTATACTAAAAACTAAAAAGAACATAAACGTTTTGGGCTTWGCCCATACAACCACACTAAGAACAGAGGAATCGTCCCCGCCGTGTCGASGCTCAAAKTGAAAACTATTTTCCCTTTGCTGGTATAATACACAAAGTTTAGCTGCGCATATAGTTCAAAGATGCCTACAATGGTGACAGATTGTCCGAAATGCTTTTGCCGACGTCCAAACATTGGATGACGCTGTCAAAGTTGTTAGTCCTTTATCATTGAAACGCTAAGCCGTTGTATTAATAAGGGATTATTTCATCACAGTGGTTGTTTGAGGGCAGCATAAAAAGCACAGGTCATAGGTTCGCTTTTGAATTGGGATTAATGACAGATATGGCCGTTTTTATTGAATAATGGCCTACTTGGAGAAAATCAGCGATATTTCAATTGCTTTTCAAAAACTAATAAATCATCATTTTTTCGTAAACATCCACAGGAATTCTGTAGTGGCTTTCTCGCTTTACCATATTAGCTTCAAAAACAAAAAATCGATCTCTAACATTCAATGATATCCTCTCTTTCACGAAATTCTCATCGGCCCCAAGAAGACAATTGCTTATAAATTTCCTTTTTACCGGTATTAAAAGGCCGAATCGTGACAGAATTGAACAGGCTACAACTTCCAATTTTTGTCTGGAAGACAATGTAACAAATTACGTTTTGACATTCTATTAACTATTCATTTAAAAAGATATACTCCTAAAACGTTTTTGTGATAAAACGTCCGTTTTTTTTTTTTGATTCAGCAGAAGAATATAATATGGTTTCTCGAATACATTGCGTCCTAGCATTTTTGATAGTGCATAGAATTAACGTCTCCTTTGACACGCGCGACATTGTGAATTTGCTAGGAAATCACTCTTTTATACATTATAGGCTTACTGAAGTTGTTATCTACCGTTTTAGGGCTTTTAAGAAATGGAATTTTTAACACCTTTAAGAGAAGGCAAAATCGAATCTATTAGCAAATGGCAGAAACGTTGAATACATATGACATAGTTGATGTTATTTCAAAAAGAGTATGTAAACTACATTTATAGAATACTTATTTACGTTCACAGACTGGATGCTATCCAAAGATAACAATTTAATTTTAAGTCCATTCAAAAAGTCATGTGTGGTTTTCGTATCACAAAAGAGGCTCACTTTCTGATGCTGTTGATGATGTTTTGTTTTGTTTTTTTCGTTAGTGCCATTCAATATACCCAATATAAATTACGATTGTTTTCGGGTTAATGTTGTTCCTGTCCTGTCGTAACTGCTAGTGTTGTTATGGTTGTCGGTGCTGTTTTTATTGTCAGTGTTGTTATATACAGTATTATAACAATTGTCGTCGAATTAGTTTTGTTGCTATTGTTGTCGTTGTTTGTGTTGTTATTGTTGTCGGTAGAGTGAAGTCATCTGTTATTAAACCCGTGAAACAAAAGTTGACTATTAAAGTGTGATAGTCAAATAAGCACAAAATATATTATTWTGTATATTTCACGGGTTTTTCTATTTCAATCTAATGGTTTTGTTGCTATCGTTAGTGCTGTTATTACAATTGTTGTCAGCGTAGTGTTGTTGCCGCTATTGTTGTTGTTTTTTATTCATTTTGTTTAGTTTGCCTCACTGACGAAGAAGGATCACTCTTCAATCTCTCTCAAAAGGTCAAAAACTCATGTAAGACTTTGAAATATCTCGAGCCAAAATGATAACAAACGGTAGCAGTAGCAGGCCAGACTGACTAGCAGCTTAATCTATCAACATTCTGCCTCTGAACAAATTGACATGCATCCTGTTGAAGTCACCAGATTCTCGTGCAAAAGCAAAGCTACAAGCTTTTAAGTTTTTTCAGTTTCAATAAACGTCCATGACAATTTCAGCCTCTAATCAAAACTTGAAATATTAGGAATATATAAAGGTCTGGGTAATACCTTAGACTGTAAGTAAATCATTTCAGAACAATGGTGTTGTCTAAACTTTTCACACTTTCACTGTTAGCGCCATTACAACCAGTACAGACAAATAATCACTAGATATATTGCTTTATCTGAAGATAGCTATGCTCTTAGAAGTTGAGTGCCACATTTCGAACGAATGTCATGTTGTTTATGCTAGAGTTTTGATCTTAGATTCCAGAGTTGTTTAATGTACATTAACTCATGGAATTTAGATTTACTGCTCATAAACGGACTTGACAAATAGTGAAGCTTTTCTATTGTCTTCCCTTACAATAATTACATTTACTAAATCACATCATTATGTGTTCAGGCTTGTGCAATTTGCGCCTTCAAGGTAATCCTTAAGAATTGTGCTTTATATAAAGCTAGTATAAAATGGATTTTCTCGATAATGCTGGGAATTATAGTCATAAAATGTCTCAATTTAAAGTTATAAGGGCAATAGTAATATCATAGAGTGAACTTCATGTTATCATTTCATGCAGCACTATTGAAATGAAATTAATAACAAACTAACTGCACTTTCAAACGCACAACATGCGACTTCACTTCAAGATAATTTGTTTTTCAAACTTTCTCATACCTTGGAAAATTCCCAGTAGATGATGACAGTAACTATACGCTTTTGTTTATAATTATTCAGGGAAAAGCGGTCTTTATACGCTAAAAAGACAATGATATGCTTTAACGTGAAGTCTGTGACGGCTATTCAATCGTGATCTGCTTGAGACTTGTTATTATCGCTAGGTGCGTCATAGGGTTCCTTGGTAACAGAGATGGTTCAGCCATGCGTGTATACTTGTTTGCAATTGGATATATCAAGTTTTTGGACGATTTTAGTTCTTCGGAATGATTCCGTATAACTRCTATAGGTAGATAGTGTCTGTTTTCGTTGTGTTTTCCTTTTTTCTTTCTTCACAAGGCCTAGTATACACCCTTTGCCAAAATGGCCTCTATTATTACTATCATTTGTAAGCGACCATGAAATGTTGAAGTGGCTGCCTCCCATTTAGACGATTCGCAGGGTTTTGAGTTGTATGTCCTCTTATTGACATACTGTTTAAAACTCCAGTGAACCCACCAGCACTGCAAAGTTTTGTCCATTTTATCACAACAAGAGTGTGTCAATAAGATGACATACAACGATTTTTTTTACTACATCGTTCAAAATGTACGAAATCATTCTTTTTTTGTGGTTACTGCTTCTTAAAGACGAATAACCACTACGTTATCGTGTTGTAAGCCCGTCCGTAACACTATCACGTGATTTGAAGTTCTAATGACAACACAAACTGCATCCCCTTGCAATCACTAACTGAAGYTGTCTCCCCATGTAATTCACCATGTCTGCCCTATTATCACTCTCTCAAAATTATAAGAGCTACAAAGACACAACACACCGAACAAAGTTGGTATTATATACAAGGATTCTCACAGTTGTTCTTTGATGTGCCGTTTTCGAATCTCAAAAGTATCCGATCGTAAGTGATCACGTGTCATGAATATGCGCAGTTAGCATCGTTATCACAMGTGTCTCAATCATGACGTAGCATTGAAGATTTTCCACGTGCTCACTTTCCTCGTGGTTGACTTGCGTTGGTAAGTAATAAATGTAAATTGTGTTTTTTTATATACTTTATCTCTCAGTATCTATCACAGATTTCGTCCTACAGTTTTGACTTTAATGATCAAAGTTTTTTAAGTGTTTTTCGCATTTTTTAAACTGAGCTCACGCGCGAGAAGTTATGATTGTGTCAGCGCATAAATTGCTTTTCCACTTTTTGACACACTCTAATCAGCCTATCARCGCGCAAGAATACACAATGTAAGTGTACTAAGAATGCTAATTAACGTCAAGCATTTTAGAAGGATCTTTTATCCATGCCTTCCTGAAATCAATAGATAACCTTTTGTCGTTTTTCGTCTTTTAGTATGTTGCTGAATTCCAATAAGAAAACCAAGATGTTGCAAACTAATGGACAACCGAGTAGACATTCGTACATGGGGAAAAAACTTGCTATGCCGCAGAACAATAAAGAGTTCCCTAGTTCTTTAGCGCATTGTTACTTAAATTATTACTCGTGGCCCGGCCCTAGGCCGGATCACGAGTCAGAAAATGCAGCGCGTATAATTTTGTTTTGTTTTTTTTCCATGTCAGAAGTTTGCCTTCGGGTCTCCCGATCGCCCTCCGATCTCTAAACGAAATATCACATTACGAACTCGTGTTCGTCACGTGACAGTGCCCATGTTACTCAAGTTGCGGCTCGTAATTCGACCATTACTCGTGGTCATTAATCGTATTTTCTACATCACTGAATTTCAATTTCAATTGGCAARGTACAGGAACCCCAAGGTCAAGTGATCTCACCAACATGCACAGCCATATACACCAGATAATACATGATTACGATAAGACAACACAGGCAACCCAAMATTACAGACGCCAGTCCCCACTTCCACGCTTGCCGTGAGTTGTAGTCAGCACTCGCTCGGTTGCCATGCTGATGATCTGAGTTAACCTGTTGACATTACATGCAGTATTTTAATCTTATTTAGATATAGATGAAGACTAAATTACTCTTTTATGAATATCATGTGTTTTGAAATAAGAATAAATATAAAACTATACACTCTTAGAGCGAGAAGTCGGGCTATTGTAAAATTGAGAAAGACAGGGTATTACATGAATGCGCGTATACGTGAACGAGTGAAATATTTTCAAAACGAGAAGATAAAATTCGTATCTCCGAGCTACAATATTCTGTCTATCATATGATTATATATGAAAGCAAATTATGGCTTAGAATATATTTCTTTTTACATTATATAGGAAAAGCACGAATGCGTTTAAAATACTTTCATTAGTTTCTTTTTATTAATTAAAGTGCAGCTCAAAATTTTAATTGTATATTCACGCTGCGCGATAACTCTTTTTTGACGGGTCGACGCAACGACGTCAAAACACTAGAAATATCGAGCCCCAGAAGTCTTCGCGGCCAATGTCACTGAATTTGCGACTTTTTTCCGTCACAAATTATGCAAATTTGGAAAATTTTGTTTTCGGTTTAGAACATTTAAACGAGGAAAAAGAAAAACCTTAAGCGAATAATTTTGTTTCTTTTTTCKGTTTGTTATTTTTAATGAAGTGACTTGAAAGCCAAACAGCTTAAATACAACGCGCGCTTAGTCATTTTCAACCAATGACAAAATTGAGAAATAATGGAACCCTCAGAGAATTTTTAAAAATACCTGAAAGATACTTATGCCTTGGGGAGCTGGGTGTGGCAAATTAAGATTTCAAAAAAAAAACACAGTAAGAAATGGATTGATCTATTTGTTCTAAAGACATGAACTTCAAATATTTTCTGACTAACGGTTTAGCAAAGCATTCATAAAAATACCAAAATAGACTTTGGTTGCTCTGATGCTAGACGGCCTAGCGTTTCATAGTCATTTAGGTGTTGGACATACCTGCATTGCGTGACATAGAGATATCAACCCACACGGGCATGCGCAGAACAACGTACTTAAACAGGCTAAAGTGATGTGATTTTCAGGCTTTGGCTCTTGTTCAATTGGTGGCTAAAGAATAAAACTTYATTCAGTACAGTTAAAGTGTTCCTCCAGCATGAATGAATTAAAGACTTACTTTGGGAATTTATTGGGAAATATATATCAAACGCGCATGGACCTTTTCTGCGATACAAAATCAAGGTGCTTTGTGGTTTTATCTTTAGAACAAATTGGCATATTWGGTGAAGCAAAAAAGTATGTACCGAATCTATACCATAATGCATTGCGCATTGCTCCTTCAGAAAGTGTATTATCTTATTGTAGCTGAACATTGCTTCAAAATATTGAAAATAAGCAGTTTTGTATATAGAAGTGGTRTAAAATGCGTCGTTTTGAYTAGGCAATAAGAAAGCAGTGATAAAAATTTAAAGATGACGTCCATAACACTGAGCCAATTTGTAATCCAATTACTTTTTGTGATAGGACTCCATTCCGTCCAATAGAAATAATTGTACGAGAAAAATTGCAAGGAATGCAATTTAATTAATTGGAATGAGTGAATAATTAATAAATTAATAATATGTTAATATATTAATAATGCAATTTAATTAATTGGAATGTGTGAAGATCTATTCAGGAGCAACCGACGGGGTCTGTTCCTCTAACTTTTTTTGTACGAATTTTTTCCTGGGAAAGGGATTTTGAGCTACATTCTGACAATCTCACAAGCAAATGTGRTGCTYTTCCTTCTTTAAAATATTTTTTGTTCCTGGTAAACGTTTTTAAGGTCAAAAAAGTCATATAACGTTTTCATGGTCAAAAATGGCTTAATCTTTTTCAGTTGAAAATTTTTATTTTCCTGGAAAAAATTCTTAGAAAGTTTTCCTTGCCTGGAGACTTCTTTTTCCTGAATTTCTCGCTGGCAATATTTCTCCCAGGAATCGTMCGTYGGCTCCTCCTTATCCATTATTAATATATATCCACTTATTATTCCTAGCTGTCCAATCAAGAAAACAATTGGACAGGTATCTATTTGGGATTAATAAGTGGATGTATGATTATATCATGTATTTGTTCAGTTTCGCGCCCTGCAAAAGGGCGGAAGATTGAGCCAAACGATTTAAAATAGTACCTGCAATACGACAGCATTATTATGCTGACAAATTGAACCGCTGCATCCAGGACTCATGTTTATAGATATAGGAATTCTCTGTGTCTGTAAAGGCTCTGGATGTGTGTTGACCAACTCAAATGCGCCATTAAATGGCGAGGTATGACCTTGAGGGATCGAATCTTAACACATATCATTTGTTAACGAAAAACAAAGTCTTTGAATTTTGCGAACTATAGTAATTGCATCGCGCCGTGCATTGATTTTAATCTAGGTTAATTTTATATACCCAAATGGAGTCTGGGTAATTTATTTTTGAATAAATCAACTTGGAGAGGAATAAGAGGAAAAGACTGAAAAGTGARGTGGAGAGGAAAAGAATAAGACAGGAAGGCATGGGGAACAGAGAAGACAGAGAAGTCTGCAGTAAGAAATACTAGTTAAGAAAAGAATAAAACAGGAAAGAAATGAGATTAAGAAGAAACAAAGGAGAAGAAGTTGATAAGAAGAAGGAATATCAAGAGAAAAAGACAATTATCTACAGCCCTATAGTCCAGACAGAGACAAGTCATTTCARGAAAGTGAGTATGGTTTGCTATATGTACCTGGGTTGATTGCTGCTGTCGCCATATTTATGGTCAGTCCTCCATTCTGCAAGTGGAAAATGTTGCGCTAATGTACATCATTTATCRACATCAAATTAACATGACACAAAACATCAACTTGGCATCGACATGACATCGAATTGACATCGGCATCACATTTTTAAAACAAACACCGACATGACATCATCATGACATCAGCGTCGTAGCCAGAGAGGAATGTTACTCCGAGGCACTTTATGCAACCGGTGGAAGCGCTCGCATCTATTTTGAAATTCAGACACTCGGAAACGTGATTTCCAGCATTTTGTGACATTGTTTTCTTACACCATTGATCGAACTTCTTTATCTGAACGACTGAACGAAAACAGGAATGTGCGCGAACCCCAATCATATGGCACGAAAGTTCAAATGAAGTCATCCGATTTTCGAACAACCCAAGAATGCGTAATGCACCAAATATAAAATGTCTTCTTTTTTTAAGTTCTTCAAGGAATTTTAATTGCCACTGATTTTTTACTCCTTTTCAGTTGAGATGTCTCATAGTCTAGAAATAATCAATACTCCATTTTACAGTTTCCATCATCATTATGAAAGGTAATCAAGCCTTCAGGATCTCATCAAAGCGAGACAAGAGTTGAGCTAAGGTGCAATATTACATACCTGTAAATGATTGTCTTAGGTGCGAGTCAGCTATCAATACAGGCTCAACTCCTGTCTCGCTTTGATTCAAAGCCACGGCTACTTTGCAAATTGGCGATTGGAACGGCTGTAATGGACATCAGAGAAAAGCTAAATGAACCAGTGCAAAAAAAATTATTATCAAAGTGTGACAGTCAAGCAGCAAAAGAACAATATTACAGCGTTTTAAGGCTTTTAAATCTATTTCAAGGTCATCTCTTGACYATATTCTCTTTTTTACGTGCTATCTGTCTTCAAGCGCACTGCCGTGATTTTGTTTCCCACACAATCCATTGGTGACTGTACTTCTTCACTTCTACTCGCAAAATGAGCGTCTTGTGGATAAGATTTTTTACATGAAATTTCACCAGAATTCATATGGAAAAGATGAAATATTCAAATGAAACTTATYTTATAGAGAAATCAAGTTTATTCTTCGCGATATATTACAAGACGGTATTAAAACTTAGCAATCAATTTCATTTTTACCTTTTTTTGATCTTAACCTTTTTAGATCCTTTGAACGAGATCCAGGAGACATACCCTGCTGAAGATCCTGACCGAGTATGAAAATATTCCTGGGAGTGTTTTCGAGAAGATCAAGTCCTCTTTCTATATATTAATTATTTTTTTCTAAAAAAMCACAGCCGTAAATCATTAATTGCGCGAGAAGAGCATTTTTGACAAGCTCTTTKAAATTTGTCTTCAAACGTTTAATATCGAATCAGGCTTGTCGTTATTTGGTAACGTGGGTTATATTATGAACGATAATAGCGTTTTCAACTTCTTCTTAACAATCGCAACTTTAAAAAGACTTGAATAATCTTTTTCTATTTTCAATATTACTTTAGAATTACATGCAATATTCTTTTTCATTTCAAGTGAATCAATCTAACATTTTTAAAGTTCGCCTTGGGCTGAGAAGTATGTTTTGCGTTGAGATGGAATCGTTCGGTCTCGCGATCGCATGTCGAACTGACCGATATTGTTATTTACCAACCGACTGAAAATTGAATCCCGTATCGGGTCGCTTAATYGCTATCGAAAGTTATAACGGATGCGGAATCAACAATATCTATGTCTTATACATTTTATCCCAAATGTTAAAGAAACATAATTTTTTGTTTGTTTGTTTTGATTTGCGGTTAGTTCACAACGCAGTATTTATTTGCGGCATTACTTTAAATCTCATGTTGGTAAATTCGTTAGATAATTCAATTTTGAAAGTCATTGAAAGATTCATTCTAATTTTGCTAATTTCATTAGTCTATGTAAAAAAATTAAAAAATACAAGGATAAAACATCTTACTTTGAGATGATATCGAGCCCTAACAAATAGAAGTCAGTAGTGGTGTGTTTTTTTTAACCAAGATAATAATAATTCATAAAGCTGTCTGCCTTGCAGTCCCAATGAAACTATCTTGTGATTGATATTCCTTGTAATTAACACGGAGGAAGCAAMCAAAATCAAAAACAGGAGCGTCCATGTCTAATCTAATCCCTTTGACACTTCCAAATACTCATAGGAGAACACAGCTAGGTGAAGAAAATATTGACTTTAAAAGATTTTGAAAGCCAGCTGCTCATGCAACGATCTTCCGCACTCGGTGTTTCTCCAGCTTTCTCCGACCTCAGTTCGGAAACAATACTTCACTGGCAAAATACTATTCTTGACTTAGTTTTAGCTTTACCAAATGTTTGGCACAAAATCAATATCTCATTCCAAAGTTTCTAAAAGTATAATTTAGACRTTTTGATGACTGATTACTTTGTAAATCAGAAAATTCATGGAAGCGTTTCCCCATTTGTTATTGTAATCTCTGATTTGATTGGTATGATAACAAACAAATATTGAATGAAACATTTGAATACAAAGAAAAAGCGTTTGACACGAAAACGTTTCTTTATATCTTATGCCTAAGCAATCTTCTAACTTACCAAAAGCTTCTGAAAGAGAATGTTCTGTCCTTTGTTAAAGAAAAGCTGTCATTCTCCCTAAAAGCATGCAGTCATATAAGCTTTTGAAGAAGAACTTCCGAGTTACTCGTGTAACAAAGAAAATATAGGGACCGATATGTTCAGTGTATGCAAATGGTGCAACCCATTATTAGTGTCACAAAAATTGCATGCCATCATGATTGATTATACGTGACAATGAAAATACTGAATTTTAATTAAAAAAATTGATTTGCGCCGCGCAGTTGTTGAGAACATAGACAAATTATAAATAAAATGAGGTTTTCAACTTGATCATTTCGGTTTTCAAGAAAATGATTAAAATGCACAGCAGGCAAACGAAATTTCTATTCGACAACGACATCGACTCTAAAATYAACATCGTGTGCTGCTGACGTCACAGAGCAAGCAGAACAATCTGACATAACTGTGCATTTTCGGTCTAAGCGGAATATCCTAACTACGATTTTCAAGTGCATTGCAAGTAAAGAATCATACACCATTTTCGTCCATTTTATTTTATTTATCAAGATTGCAAATTTATTTTTACTACAGATATTAACCCGAGCTGACTGTTGTGATAAAAAATGAGGTTGCTACGATGATGAAAGAAAAAGCAAACCTGATGTGTTACGTATTTGTAGAAATTCAGATGAATTTGTTATTTAAACTAAGRCTTTTTGCGCACTTGTAAAAGTTTATATATTACAAAGAAAAGTTTTACTCAAGATGGTTTAGTAATACTCGGTTTTAAGGTTTCTTTTCAGTTGATCGATGCACATCAAAACTGTCAATACGCCAAGCAAACCAAACGAGATTGAAGTAAAGGCCATATTTTCTGCTTCAGCAAAGTCATTATTTGCTCCCGCCTTTTGACCGCGACTCCACCGCCTTCTTCCCTGATAAACAGACAACATATTAATATAGAGTAATAAAAGGTCAGCTGTGTAACTAGACATTTATGAAGTATGTGTTTTATGTAGCCTCCTCCGCAGGCATCACTAAGAATCACGGGCTTCCTGTCTTTTGCTATCTCGTCACTAGTCCCTAACGGCCAAAATGACCGTTACAAAGGAAGCCCAAAGGAGGAAAAAAGAGTTGCCTGTGGAGGAGGCTATGTTTTATGTACTATTGAAAATACATTTTCTGCCGCTGTCAACAAGTTTACACCACTGAAGCTAACAATAACATATTGAGGGAAAAGTAGCAGTCGACACATAATAATCTTTGACCATGGAGGAACTAGGATTGAAATATCAGAGTACTCAAAATTCCCATCAGTTTGGCATCAGAGTTAGTAGAGGGGAACTAGTTCCCCTTTACAAACTCTGTTAGCATTTCTGAAAGTTATCTAGTTAACCGTGATTCGAGGCGTGAGTCGTGAAATCGCCAAATTTTTAGTAGTAATGCGTACCACCCCGTTGAGACCCTCCTAAATGAGCGGTACAAATGTACCGACAAAATCTCCAAAACAAAACTAGCACTCATTTAGTATGTTAGTACATCGAAGACTTTGAGTGGGAGCCGATCATATAGCCACTTCGTAAAAAGAAGTCGGTTCTCGGGAAAGTGCCAAACACAAGAGATGACAATAATTCTCAAAAAAAGTAAATAAATAAATAAATATAAAAATATAAATAAAAAAAAGAAGATAAACAATAAATAAAATAGAAATGAAAATACACAATCAGAAACGTCTCGTCCAGGGAATCGATCCCGCTACCATCAAACCTACATTGGATTTGCAAGCAGCGCCTTAACGCGGTGCGCCACTGGACCACGCTCATTTACATAATAATAGACCACTTGGTACTTTCACCGAATAGACTACCCCAATTTGACATTATACTTTCGATAGTTGCCTAGTTAGTGCAAGGGGTTATCCATCAGTGTCTAGGGGCCGGATAGCTTCTCCCTCACTGGCTTTTTAGTTAGCGCGAAGTTAGGACCAATTATCGGGATAGCATGGAAGAGCCGAAATCTCTAACCGGAATGTAAATCGATTCGCCGCCTCAGCTTCACAGAATGTCTCGGGGGAATCGTCCCAACTTTTTTTCGATTTTATGGTCATGGGTTCGAATCCCACCACTCAAGTTTTTTCTTTTTTCATATTTCTTTCTTTTTCTTTTTGTTGTTGTCTTTGATTAGCTTCCTACATTAATGTTTGTTTGCAATATCTGCAGAATCATTTAGTAATTATTTTTATATATTTCTATAATGTGATTTTAAAGCGCGCTTTCATTGGCTTTTTTTCATTAAACGTATAATAGGTTTTCACCGCGCGGAGATTGCGCAACCGAGAATCAATTTTTAAACAGAGAGTGGCCGAGTTATGTTTTCTATTCGTACGGACATTGTATATATTCTGACATTTTCTGTAATTAGATAAGATATCGATTTTAAAATACTATAATTATAGTTATAAAAGGTTGTGTAAAGAAGATAAGTTTAACACCGTAAACTCCGACGAAGGATTAACATCCGAAACGTCAGTAAGTTATTTCCCATACTTTTTTACGGTGTTAAACTTATCTTCTTTACACAACTGTTTCGTCAGAAACACCGACGCAGCTCACACTAGTTTACCGCTAGTTCCCACCATTTTAGTTATAAAAGGTTTTTTCTTTCTTAGATAGTATTTTTGTTTTGTACATTTTAAAACTCCCACTCATTTAGTGCCTGCGTCACGCTAAGTGYGACAAGAAACTAAATCTGCTCGATTTTAAAATACTATAATCTTGTTTAGAGTCAAATAATAATATGAATACGCTGCAAACTTCCTGATTTTACCATGCACATTTAGCCCGGCATAGAATACATCATCGCGAAAAGCGACACTTATGAAATTTCATAAACTCCGATGTCAGACACGGAATGCAGCAATGCCACTACTATGTTCTCAATACCTGCTATGTTTAACATGCACTTTTTGGTTTTTTCTTGTGTATTATGAATTTATGATTAATCATTTTTTCGTGGAAATAGTCGCATTTCGGCTTATTTGAAAGAGAAACTATCCATGTCCGTATGAATAAGTCACGCAGTCTATTCATACGAAAAAAAGAAAAAGTAATGAAAAAAGTCACGGGTTTATTGACTTCACTCTAGTTGAATCGAAATATTGGAAAAAATAGCACCCTTATGTATATGTATACATGGGCATTGTTGACTATTATTGCATAACTTCGGCAAACTTTGTACGTAGCTATATTTGTTATCCAGATCAAAACTGATGTAAATTTCCAAGTCAGCAACATGTATGCATGCAGAAATATACGTACTCGAATCCAGAAGAAGAGTGCTATCAGGCCAATGGGGAGTATAGGTATTAGAGATAGCAGCACCAGAACAGAACGGATTTTACTTGATTTCAGAAGAAGCCTTTCAGTAGCGATCTAAAACAAAACGATTGTCAGTCAGAAAGCTTTACCAACCAATCAATTGAACAACTACAGCTAACAAACTAATGATGGTAAACTGATAAACCAGCAATCAGCCAAACCTGACCAACCTATGACACCGCCCACAAATGTATCAAGAATACTGATAAAAACGCTTCCCAGGTTCAAAACGTTTTCGATTGTGAAGGCGCGAAAAAATGTCAGATCCAGACTGTACACTCACTAAGCGCATGAAGAAGTTTTCGCTATTGTTTTACTTAGAATCCCAGAAGCCACACTGGAAGAATGTTGATCAAAATTGCCTATTTGTACAAACTTCCCTTCAAATTCTGATACAAATTTTTATCTAAGCGCACTTTTGCCTCCATGGTGAGGGTCCACATGCACCCATAATATAATTAGGTTAATAAATAAAAATAAAAGAACAAAGACGAGACACTCGAATTAAATGCAAATTTCTTACAGTTATTTTAAAGGGATTCTAAGGATTCTACTCCGGCTTTCTAAGTATAATTCAGGAATGAGAGTAAAYCTGTATTTCTATGTTTAAGAATTCATCTTTAGTTTGCTTAAGAAGCTAATTTGTCTTGTTTTCAGATTCGAGGTTTTTTCATTCCATCCAATGAAATTTTTCATGGCATTTTCTACAATCTGTATGGATTGACTAACCTACATTTTAGTACAGACAATTTTAGCAGAGCAAGTGACTTGATGACCTGAAATAAGATTCTTGTTTTTCCATGCAGATAGATAATACGGTTTTGAAATTTGTAGGTGCTCTTTGAAGGTTGTTAGATTTAACTTGAAAGTTGATGCAACCCTTTCCTTGAGATTACAAATTTGACAAACGACCCTTCCCTCTGAGGATCCTCTGAGACTGCAGAACCCCTTCCCTAATTGCAAAATGTCTTCAAATGATCAGCTTTCGTTAATCCCACGCGATTGTCACCTTCCCTCCCGCATTCTAGAAACATATCTATGTTAAAGCGGCCGACCTTCAACTCTTCGTCTTCTTTTGACAACTGACCAACTGGTTTGTCTSTACTCTGTGTATCTTGCTTCATTCTGACTGCAAATTAAGTGTTGTTAAAGCCTTTTCAGCACGAAATTATAGAAAAATGACAGTATAGTGCTGATATTTTATCCATAGACATGTTTTTGTAAGATTGAATGCATGAACCGAAGAATTAAGCAAATTCATCGCCCATTTTTGGAGACTGGACTTCTGAAACCAAAAGTTTTAAAAACTAACAAATCGAAGGTGACTATTCAAGTGAATTATTGAATTGAATAATTTCTAAAGGGACAATCTTAGAATATCACTACAAACTTATAATGACCAAATTTAATTGCGTAAAATGGCTTTGAATATATCTACTTGCGCTCCAGAACTAGCAAGTCAATCCGACAACATTCTATGTGTTCATTTGGTAGATTAATAAAGTAGCACACTCAATGTTTCATAATTGCAACACACCGGAAACCCTTCAATACCGAAAGATGTAACTGAGTAAACGACAGCAACTTACCTGATCCTATGTTTTGGCATTAATTTAGGACCTTGCAGATTTTTAGACTTTCTAAAAGTTAAAATCTGGGAAACCAGATATATATATAAATGGTAGCTTCGGCTGAGGAGTCTGTTATGACTGTTATACAGATRTTGATTCATTGATTAACATTACGCGGTTCAATGGAGCGATCAACAGTTATTTGTCCAGCTTGATCTTATTTGCATACGTTACTAGCATAAAAATGAGCTATGAAGCCAACTATGTTAGTACAGTAGAGCACTGCACCGCCATCGCCGAAATTTTTTCAGGCGATCCATACATTTGTTTTTAATCGGTTAGATTATTGTTTACACTGCGACGATCATATAAATTCATTACACATTTTATATATGTTGCATTCACAATCCGCGCCAGTTTAATCTAATAAATAGAGGATATTACATGGGTGCGCAGAGATACGGATTTTATCTTCGAGTTCGAGTGTTGAAAATCTTTTTTGGCCTTGCTGTCTTAAACAGGGTATTCATTTCACCCGAAATTGTCTTAAACAGGCTCTACAATTTAGATAAAATACCGATATAATTTTTTTGTGTGTCTTGGACAGGGTAATATTTTCATAAAAAAACACCGTAGAAATAGTAGAAATACCGTTTCACTGTCCCTGTCCCAGGATTAACGTGTTATCAAAAACTTCTTATTGTCTTTGATGGATGCCAGTATAATTGCAGGTTTGATGGTTGTGGCGTAGATAGCTATTCCTTTTTTTCCGATTTGTCTTGAACGGTATGGATTTTTACTTTTAAGTGTCTTTTAAACAGGGTCAGGGATTTAGACCGCTGGCGGCACGTACCTATCCAAAACGGGGTCGAGTACCCCCCCCCCCCCCCCCCCCCCTTCCCCTGGGCTCTTGGTATTATAGCAAAATAATAATAATCGATGATCAGAGCTCGACCATACGAAGGCATATGATGAAGGCATCAAGTTGGAAACAATGCGTCAGATACTGAAGGACGAGAGTCCTATGGGAATATTTTGATTGTATTTTTCCCTCAGCTAAGAAAATATCCCTGAAGCAGAAAAAAGCTTAGTTAGTGAGGCGGTGACCCTACGTTAACTGTTCACAGTCAGTCCAGCAACCAGCGCTTAGTGCGAACGATCACTTTCAGCAGCAAGACCGTCTGAAAACCTGGCTAATATCAAATATGACACAGCAATGACTCAGCAATTTCATGCTACTAAATTGATCAKTGAAATCGCCAATAAACGACAATCGAAAGAAGAATTTTGGTCTCTTCACTGTTGCAGATCTCTGAAGAGAAGATGTCACTGAGATTCGGAAACATTTATTAACATTCTATCAACTAAAAAATGCCTTTTTCAAACTTTCGCATTTCGGATTAAAATTCCAAAATTTTCCCTGGGGTTAGGCCCCCGWACCCCCCTACAAAATTCGCGCCTTGGGCGCTCATCAGCCACCCCCATCTCGATGCAATCATCGAGAGACTAGTGGGTAACGTCAATGAGAGAAACTCTGCGAGAAGCAAGCATACTAGAACACATTTACCACATTTTTGCAATTACATCATTTATATTCAATATTTTATCACAAGAAATGTAATTATGCCAAAACTTTCACAAAGCTCAGAAGTCTTTGGATTTTAGAGCTCTTGTTTTGAAATCATCATCATTTTTTAGTGATAACCAGGCCTAAACTGTCTATTAATTTGATTAAAATTTCCCTTTTATCATAAACACCCTAAAAACAATCATGGACTGAATATTGACATTATAAACATTAGTTATGACTTAATATTAAAAATGTCACATTTTTCGCGCATCCCTTTCCCATTATTTCATTAATTTATCCATAAATTCCACAAGTTCTGAGGTTTCACGGACTCCTTGAAATTGACTCACAAGCCTGCCACCCTTGAATCCTAGAACTGTAGGGACCGCATTAACCTATAAAATAATGCAAATTATTCTTGTTAGTAGAGAAAACAAACAATTCTCAGCAGCATTGACACTTGGTAATAGTTCATAATTCACATCTTTGCCTGCAAGTTTATTTTCAGAACAAATTATTATTTTTTTAGCCGAAAGCCCTGATCACTACTATTTCATCTTTAAAAAGATGTAACAAAACTACAGTCTTATTATAAGTAGTGCAACTTTTAAAAAAGCTGCAATTCCCTTGAGCCCTTTAATCCATCATTAATGGATGGTTTAAGGTTTTTGATATAATAATAGGCCTCAATGAACTCCAACCATGGCCAATTGTTGCTACAGTCGATGACCTCACAGTTCTCAACTGCATTAAAAATGTGTTTACTAAGGTCAACCAAAACTGTATTGACATTGTCAATGCCAGGTAGTCCCATGAGTCCTAAAACATCACGGAATAAACTACCGACACTCTATTGGATGTTTTTAACATAGTCTTGTCAATACATGTCCCATGTTCATCATTGACTGCAATGACAATTGGTCATTTTGWTTGGAGTTAAATCTCTCTTCAGAAACCTTCTTGAAATTATGTACTTACTCCATATTGGAATGCTAATTCCCCATTTGTATCCACATCTACTTTAGCCAGTTCAACTTTGCCTTCCTGCTTGGCAACAACTTCTTCTAATCGTGGTGCTAGGACTTTACAGGGATTGCACCAACTAAAAAATCAAGRAAGCTTTCAGTGTTGAAATTTTTAAAAATGAAATGGGCCCTAAGCACTTATCACCCTATCAGAAACAAAGTATTTTAAATTGGTKTGATTACTCTAAAATATAACTTTGGTATACTGACATCTGACTTGCAGATTAAAGTACGGGTACGATGAGATCCGAGGATAGGTGTTTTTTAGTTTTTGCTAGTTTATACTATAAATAATTACCATAAATAAGGTATGTTACATTTTAGATGAAGAGAACATGTTGAAATTTGCCATTTGTTGTCGATTTTCGATCCACCATTAATCGACAGCTATCTTGGAAAATGAAGGCCGTTAGGGGCTGGTAGTGAATTTTGACATCATATGCTTAACACGAGTGAATTTGTAAACATGRACTACTGTGTGAGTCCAATGTGAATCGAATGTTGTTTTCGAAAGATTGCAATGTATTTGGCACAAACTGTTATCTTACGCTATTAGCTGTATTGAACATTTATCACTGACTCAATACGAATGTTCCAGACCAGTTTTTCTGTTTCTGAATGAGATATAACTTGCAATTTTTTCAATGATTGCATTTTATTWAACTCTGAAAGTCTCAGAGACAGAACAAAACGTTTGATTCGATGCTCCTGAATTTTGTTTCTTCATTATTTTATACGCTTATTTTATATGCTGGTAAATGATAGAATGCTGCCAAACAAATTTGATTTTTTAACTGTGCAATATTGTACCAGCAATTTTGACAAAGACCAGATGCTCCTMWTTGGATGAAACACATTTGCCTGAATAATAATTGCAATACTCCTGTTTTGAATTCATAGCGCAAAACYGCTGCTTTATTTGACAACAGATTCTTGCACAAAGACCTTACAAACACAAAAGAGAGCACAAGAAAATGTCGTTATTACAATAGACTTGAAAATTTGCATTTTCCCCGAGTTGAGACTAACCCTGTATTCCCATGAGACTTAAGGTATGAGCCTTCTGGGAATACAGGGTTAGCCTCAACTGGGGGAAAATGTAAATTGTTAGCGCTATTGTACAAGCAACATTTTCTTGTGCTTTMTTTTGTGTTTGTTAAGTTCTTTGCGTAAGAGAATCTSCTGTCAAATATAACAGCGGTTATTCACTTTGAATTTGAAACTGGAGTATTATATTTTTGACATATTATAATTATATTTCATTCCAAGAAATATAATACTCACCCAGCATGGAAGTCTACAATGACTGGTGTTTTAGATTCCAGAACTTTTGTTTTGAAATCATTTTCATCTTGAACATCAAAAGGCATACGATACACAGATGATGTTGTGATATGAGCTGAAGTTCCAGAAAAATACTTAGGTTGAAAGAAGGCACGATGGTGGGATGCAAGTCGGTGAGCCATCCTATAGAAAATGGTAATATTTGGTATTGAATTCGTGGAATGCCTGCATGAGAAACTCTAGGAAACCTAGTTATGAAAACTTAACTCAGGTAGAGGAAATACTAGTAAGAAAAAAATATATTTTGGCTCATATGACTCGGTGTAAGGCTCTTTCTTAAATGAATGCAGCTTGCAAGAAAAAAGTGATTCTTACAAAACATGATATGTAAGCTACAGATCAGTAGCAACACCAATGCAGCTTGATGCTACGACGAACAAGTAACTTAAGCTAAAAAAAAATCAACAAAAACAATAAAACGTTAAAATCATAAAGATGCAAATCGTATATATTCCAGCATAAATCTCGTTAGATGTTTTCATGTTGAAAAAGCACACAACAAAAAAAGCTTAAAAGTCGCACAAAAAAATTCTAAAAGTTGTAAGATTGCCAAAATTGTTCCTCACAACAAAACAAAACATTCAACTTATAAAGTTCACTATATTCCCTCCGCTTTCAAAACAATTTCTTGTAAAAAATGTATATCATGATAAATCAGAAGATACACGATTGCGACTTACCTTAATCGGTTAAGAAATATTCAGAACTTCTAAAGAAAGAAAATACTAGTAAAAGCTAGAGTAAAAGCTGGACTYGTTCTGCAAACTGTTCCAGGTCTGTAGGGTTCCAGTCCCTCGCATTACCGGTTATTAACCCGCAGTACAGGAAGCCCAAAGCAATATGACCCAGGCAATATTCTTTTTAATGTACTGTTTAAAAAATATACCAAATCAAGTTATATGCCTCTTATGGAAACACATGACTGATTTTTTTTACTTCCTCACTAGAAAGTCCTTATTGATAATATTAAACTTTTAGTTTAATAATGTCACCGCGTTGTACTATGGGCGAAGGTTGCTATAAGCAACAAAATGGCGGCAAATGTTTACAACTGCGAACTGATCATTTACTTACGAAGCATTTATTAGTTGTACGAGGTGTTCGTCTGAGAATTGGCTTAAGTCTAATCCATACGTTAAGTGCTCTGTGTGTAAGACGTTCATATAATTAGTAAAATTCGTGATGAATGTGAGCTTGGATTTCGATCTTTAGGTAAGAAAGAAAGCTTTTCGCGCGAACCGAGTTCTTTTTCATGGGCCTTTGTACAGTAGGCTACCTTATAGAAATCTGAAATCTTAGTTAAATCAGCTCAGCAGCTTATCAATACTCAATAAGTTTATTGTGATAAACTTTAGATTATCCATTTCCAAAAGCTGATGTGATATTACATARGAAGATCGAGATTTTCGAATTCCACACACATCTACGAGACTTCCCATGGCAGAACATCTTACAAAGTCAGCTTTAGCTCAATTTGTTCTTCCCGAAACTATGGATGACATCGAAGAGTACCTTAAGCCAGAATTTTCACTTAAGCATCAACGCAGAAAAGTAAAAGAACAAGACACGTTGAATGATGAAGATGAAGTTCATGGAAGAAGAATTGTTATGGATGGATTTGGAAGATGGAGAGAAATTCGACCAAAGAAGCACATCCAAAATAAAAGGCTTGAGCTCGTTGATGCAGAGAGTTTACCAAGAATGAAACAGGTTTTTGGAATGGATAGTCCTGTTTCAAGTCGATGTGGTGGCAATGCACCATCACCAAAGTCTCGATATGATGCATATCAATCAGATTGGGAAAGGACCAGGTGAATAAATACATCTTTAAAAACATCATAATTATTATTTCATCGACTGCAGAATACTCAGCCATATTTAAGTATAGGTTTCAATTTGGCCCTTTAAAGCAAAACCACTACAACAGCTGCACAAGTAAGAAATTATCGGTTGCAATTATAGGATATTCTGCAATCTAAGCCATTGTCATCTTTTGTTAACCAGTCAGAATATCATCAATTTCTAATGTGTCACATTATTTTCCACCTCATTCTGACTMAATCTACTACAAAAACCTCACCATCTTCAAGGGTCGAGGAAGGACTATTATTAACCCCTGATACCAATATATCCTCCATATATAGTATCCTTACAATCACATGATGTCTAACATGACGTAGATTATATTGTCAACAAGGTGAAGATTTATTGCTTATTTTAAATTCTTCACTATCCATATCACATGCAGATCATCATCCAGACAAGAAAGAACACCACAGATGAGAAAAGAAAGCAACTTTGACAATGGTTCAGTATATAACAAACTTGGAATGATAACACGGTCCAACGTATTTCCAGGAATAGGAAATTACCATTGGAACACGACAACTGCCAGGACATTTACAAAAAAAMCCATTACTCCAGTAGAGGACAGAAAAGTATTTTATGGTCTTCAAACAGATGACTTTGGTGTTTGGGCTGCAGCWAATGTACTCAATGAGAGAATGAAGAAAGCATGGGGTGATTATTTAGAGAATGTACCAAAAGGTAATAACAAATGTAAGGCCAGTCTAGGGAGTTTGAAGAGATCAACACTACATATACCTCCTTTGAGGTTTGTGATGTGACCCAGGCTACTTACTACATTTGTATATGTCTAAAAGGAACTCATTGAGCAAAGTAGTTCTATGTATGCCTCCAAAGGAAGTCTATGTCTAAAAATTTCTTCACGTCACCAATAATTTGATGGAGTACATAATAGTTAAAAAACTGTTTAATAAACAGATCTATATTATTCATTTTTTACTGAAAGAAACACCTCAAAGATGTGCAGATCCCTTGACTCCAGTGCATCAAATGAAATGGAAAATTTTTTTTTAAGATTTTAAAAGTTACTTTTACAGACTTACTTTTAATTCTTTGCAAGTTTTGACATTTGCCAATAGCAACCATTTAAAATACTTCATAATGTACTAGTAGGTGAAATTTATATGATAGCTTTTTCACTTCTTGTTTAGACCAATGATGATATCGTATAATGTATTGCATTTGTATTGTATGTGAAGTCATATGGTAAAAGCAGGACTCAAAGGGATTACCATTCTAAAAAATGATAAGATGATTTGAGTAAAGAAATGACCATTGTTAATATGGAAAACATGAATAGGTTATGGTCAACGTAGAAAGCAAAGTGTCTGGTTTATGGTCTGACTTAGACGGCAAAGCCTCTAGACTACTGTCTGACTTAGACGGCAAAGTGTCTGGTTTACTGTTTGACTTAGGAAATCAGGAAATAATGTCTTGTTATGTTATTAGCCTTAGACAGCAATAAAGTTTGGTTTACTGACAGTCTAAGATAGCAAAAATGTATGCTAACTTATAGTCTAAGATAGCAATAATGTCTGGTTAACTGCGATTGACAAAAATAGCAGTAATGTCTAGTTACTGATTGACTAATTTATTCATGTTTGCCAATTACTGAGATGGCCATGAAGACAGGAGTTGGCCATTTGTTATTTTTTTAATGGTTTCTGTCTTCCTAACCCAAAAATTGACAAACATCGGTATTTTCAGATAAAAAAGGAAAGAGCCAAATACAAAATTTCTTCTCACTGCATTAAATGTTTGGTACCATACTTTACATAGTTCACATTCTCCACAAACTTACACTTGTACAGTGTATTTCATTAGATTTCAAGCACTTTACTTTTTGCAGACAGCCTTGTTTTTGGTCATGTTTGAAAACTAATGAAACACSTACACRTGTTTCTGTGTTTATAATGATCTAACACATTCAAACATCTCTTTCAGCAAACTGGGAACCACCTTCAGCAGAGAATGCAAAGACAATGCCTCCAGTGCAAATAAAACCTAAAACAAAATCTAAGAAAAACCCACCCAAACCCAAATCCAAACAGGACAATGTAGTAACCAATGATACTACTCCATTTCAGGAGCCAGAAAACCTTCCAAGTGAACAACATATACCTCCACCATATGTTCCTGATAATGGTGAAGCAGATGATGATGATTTCTGGGACTTTTATGACAAGCCATTCAATAAACCACAAAAATGATTATAAAATACAAATACTAAAAGCATAAGAATTTTAATAGAAATTAAAATGTTTTTGTTCAAATTTTAATACAAGAAAAAAAAGAAAGAAAGAGACAATCTGGCCAAAACATTTATGACCAAAACTCATTGTATGCATTTGCCATCACCTTATAAAACGTACAAAGATTTAAGTCAACAAAGTCTGTACTGTCTTATGCTTTTAGTGTTTGCATTAGAAAAGTTAACTATTACTCAAATTATATATAATTATTTTTAATTACCAATCATATGATGATACAAGAACACATTTATAGCAAAAGAATATAAATATCTGATTATTTGTAGGGAATCATTAGATGTTGAAATAGCAATATAATTATATTATTGTTTTAATAAAATGAAAGCTCAATACATATTAAATTGATATGCCGTCCTTATTATGCTGTGATTTATAAAAGCTAAGTTGCATTGTTTACATTTTGTACAWGTTCATGTATTTGGTTTAGTTTCTTTTCTTTTGTTCCTTCTTCTTAATACAATAGAGTACAGAAAAACATGAAATTGTGCTGATAGAATACTGATTTCTGATATACTAAATTGTCAGGTCTGCAACAAATCTTCCACAAAATGCAACATCATCATGGATTTAGATTGACATATAGTTTTCTATGTATGTGGACATTTATATCATATTGAGTGTTAAAATTTTGTTTCCTAAAACCTGCTGGCACCACCTACATGTATTAGCTTTATCATGATCAGCTWAACTTCTATTCATCATTTTATTTTACACTGTACACTGCATGGTCRAATAAAACTGGTGGTTGTACAATTTCTTTGTTCTTTTCTATTTTAAACATCATAGAGAATTGTAAAATGTAACGTGATGGTTTTTGCCCCTTGTGCACTGCACTTATCTGTTACCMTGTAATGTCAGTGTCTTCACCAGCTACTGACCATTGGTGTTACTATATCCACGTCTAGCCTCGATTGCCAACATGACCACAGTTCTCATTCATACAATTTCTTTCTGGTGGCAGGTTAAATTGAACTTGTCCATCTGGTATTTAGTAATTCAATGTAGTTGGAAAGTTACTTCATTTGCTTATGATCACATTTCTGAGAGGATTTCACTTGCAATTTGTCGTTCTAGAGGATCTAATCCTATCGAGAAAAACAGAATTTACATGTAATTTTTTTTGGATAAATGAATAATGACACAATTTATAACCTAGTAATACAGTTGTAAAATAATAATATACAAATTGGAAGTAATGTTACATTATTGTGTATCATGAGCTGCATATTTTCAAATGTCATTACTTGTACACCAAGCAGCTGTCCACTGGCAGGCATAAAATGTATTATACACATAACCATCAAGCTGTTACACTTATAATGCTTTTAAATGTAAATTAATTGTCTCACAAAAATTGTTGCAAGTTGTACAGTATATTTTTACATATGTGCACAACATCCCTTCTTTCAAAATTAACCTTCATTTTTTTCTACTCAAAATAAGTAGAATTGGCTTCTTCTTCTTGCCATTTCAAAAAACAGTCTCATGAGCAACATTTTTGATCAACTACTGCTTTTTATGCTATTGCTCAATGTCTTTCTTCTCTCAAGCCAAATTTCCCTCAAGACAAATGAATATCATGAGGGAAATTTAAAAGACAAAGGATTCTTTTGTCTTTTACTTTACAATTTCCCTCTATTTAATTTATGCAAGGGAAATTTAGTAAAAGACAAAACAATCCTTTGTCTTCYAAGTATTATTTGTATCATAAGTATCATTAGTATTACAAAGTAATACCAGACTTCTCCCAACTCATCAAATTGTTCAGCAAAGCAGCAAAAAATACCCTTCAAGTAAAATTAGTTCTTTACAAACAGAAAATGATCTTTTTGTGAACAGTTGAGACTCAGATCATTGCTGTACCCATTTGTTTACTTTTGACCTATAAGTGGGTCTACCACTCATGAAAGAGGTCAATTTTGAAATAGTGTATGTAAAAGGTAGCGAGCTTCCTTCTTTCATAATATGATAGTGCCAGATCTGACAGATGCTCTAGAGTGTTTAGTTGGTAAAGATTATAATTATAATTTATAACAATTTTTGCAGTGTGCCAAAAAAGTGTATTATGCAACAAACCTGTTTGAATGTCAGGAAAAACTGGTTCTTGTTCACTATTGTTAAACATGACATCAATGTCAATGTTTTTAAGTGCTGAGTCTGAAAGCATCACTGATGGGGGAGGGGAGGCTTGGGTATTTACTGGTACTCCTTCATGCTTTGCAKTATCTGACATGAGAAAAGATTTTTATTAGTAACCACACTGTCTAATATGCTATATTAATGCATTGCATTCATAGATTAGCTGATTATATAAAYTATTAGGTAGGTGCAAACACTAAAAGCATGAAAAATTGATAAAAAAATAATGCTGTACAGCACATTCAAAAACTCATAGAATGAGCCTAGTATTTGGTCATGTGCATGGACCTTTAAATCTGATAAAATTACTATTAGTATTCTTTCTAATAAAGAATTAATATAAATAGTATAAACATAAATTAATCCATGTTTGGCTAAGTTTRAGTTGTTCAATTTCAAAAAACGTATTGTAGGTCTTAACTACACAGCCATCAATGCTCAGGTTGCATAGCAAGGCATTCCTAGCCACTCTGAGGTAGTCTGTCCTATAATCCTGGCTATGCAGACTATCAAATGGTCCGAGGCAAGTACATACAGTTTTTGCATACCATTTAAATGTCAAACTAAAAATTACTTATCTTCACCTTTTTGTAATACTTTTTGTTTTTTAGGTTTTGGTTCTGATTGACTGGCTAAATTTGAGGCATTTTTCTTTGCTGTGTCTTCTTGATTTGCTCTTTTTTTGATTGCAGTTTTCATTTGTGACCTAAAACCAAAACATAAAAGAATTTTAATTAGATAATTATAATTTTATTATATTATACTCTTATAAATGGACTTGAAATGACTTATTGTTAGAGCAGAATTTGTATGACTGTACAAAAAAACATGGCACTTTCATGGTGAGACCATTCTTTGGCATATTCTTGAATCCTAATATTTATTTGGCATCACTACCAGGCAAGGTTTCATGACCGTGAGTCCTGTCCATGTTATGCCCTGTTGTGTGCTTTTGTCATACAATCTGCTCTGTTATTAAGTTTTCTTCAATGCTCCAGTTGCCCAAAATTCAGATGATGCATTGTAAAGACTACATGTAAGGCTACTACCCAACATCATAATATACACCTATTTCCAAAAAAAGTTGTCGTCAAATAGTCCACAGTCTTGAATCTACAAAGAATGTTGGACTTCCATGTGCAATATTAAAATATTCAAAATATATTTGCCTAGTATGTGTCTTGTCATGAGACATTTTCCTTGAGAAATGTTCTGGACATGTTTTGTCAGTGAGTTTCAAAGCTAAATTTTGCTACAAGACCGAGAATTTTGAATAATCTATATAGCAATCCCAAGATTCTTTGCAGGCTCAAGACTGTGAACTATGCTCTTGCGTTGACAACGTTTTTTTTTTTAAATAGGTATAGATGTAGTGCTTAATTTTCTAGCTTAGCTCAGAGAGTAAATTTAATTAAAATGGCTAATCATCTAGTATGTCACACTTCATTACAACTACAGTACATGTAGAGACCTTATTGGCATTATTCTACTTTCAATTAATTTATTAATATTATAAATGAAAATTTTCAATTGTTAGAATCAATGGTTGCTTGAGAGTAGAATTACAGCCAAWCTAAACATGGCAAATGTGCAAAGCATAAGAATTTACATACAAAATATGACTGAAGACAACTCATCAAAAACAGTTTACAGATGACTGATGTCAAATGCATGGTTTCAAGTTGAGTTGACTAAGTTGCAGAAGTAAGTAACAGGCTCTTTGTTAGTAAAATATTGTCATTGCAGGTAAAGATGACTTTTTTCTCAGTCTACATACACTGATTTATTCTTTACATGCTCACTAATSTCCTTGAGGTCATCTCCAAACTTAGACACTGCAACTCTCAGCATATCAATTTCTTTATCACCCCACTTTTCACTAAAAGGAACCAAAAGAGACAATCAATAGCTGGCACAACACTAGTACAGACTGAGATAATTTACATCTCAGCATCTGTCAGATAATTTATACAGTCAAAATGGTGGGAACTAGCGGTAAACTAGAGTATGAGCTGCGTCGGTGTTTCTAAAGAAACAGTTAAATAATATGTAATTTTAAAGATACATGTAAATTTAACACCGTAAAAAAGTAGATGAAATAACTAACTGAACGTCAGTAAGTTAATTCACCTACATGTACATTGTACTTTTTAAGGGCCTTTCTGTGTGTACCGGAATCTATTGTATTCTGGTTAGGTTTCATTGTATTTTGGGGTAATCTGCTTCTTTGTTTTAAGCTTCTGTTTCTATTGAATTACGTAATCTGTACTCCGGTATGTAAAGAAGCAACCCTTTTTAACTGTGTTAAATTTATCTTTTTACATAACTATTTATACAGTCAGTCAGTCTTTTTGTAGAAAAAATATCATCACATATTAACAAAATGTTGTGTTTTCCTGATACAAAGAACTCATACCACAGGCTTTGAAATAACCTGTGTTTGAGATGGACTGGAAAGAAATGAGATGCAAGCTTGTAAGTATGGGTGGCTTTTGTGTCCTCTCAAATGCCATGTTCTTATTGCCCTAATTGAAACATGATGATTGAAGTTGTCAAGCAAGAAACACAGTTTCTGCCTCAAACTTAAGACAAGGGTTAAAGGGAAAGTAACCAGCTAAGAACAATTATAATTATTATACCTATAAGTAACCTAACAGTAATTATGCATGTAGTAAAATACTGCATAGCAGTTTCATGACTTACTATAATAGTACAAGGGTGTATATTCTCTATAATATTATTCAATTCAGTAATCTTACAATTGAATTAATTTCAAAATTCCTGTCAATTAACAGATAAATTGTTCACTTCCTAAAATATTCCTACCTTACAATTTATTAATCAAATACTTGGAYATTTTTTTAGATCTATGGATCTTTTGAAACTCAACAAAAATATAGTTTTTGCAGCTTTTCATCGTGGATGGAAGCAGCTATGCTGTCGAGTTGTGATAGAGTGAGTGATTTTTGGAAAATCATTCGGAGGATCATTCGGGTGTGAATCGGTACTCATTTACATGCTAATAAAATAGTATCTAGTGTGACAAGGTCAAGATTATGTGACACCCATATTTGGAAAATAGTGTGAGCGATTACTTTTGCAGYGCACGATTTATGCATTATAAGTAAAACAGTTCTGCTCCAGATTCAGTCATGTTTGGTTGTGTCAGTTTTCTCTGTTACGTTTTTCCAACAACTTATCAATACGAACCTATTTTCGAAATTTTCGAAAAATTGACAAAAAATCGCTTCAATCATTTGTTTCTGGTCTAAATAATCATGTTTGCTAGTTATTTCTCGTGATTTCCTTTTAAAAAGCGAAAAAAATGACATTTAGTTATGGACTGTACTCTCTGACTGTTTGTATGAAATCACTTCAATAGCATGGATGACTGAGCTACTCATTTTGACATTGAAAAGCCATTTAAGTGACACTTGAAGTCAAAAACTAAGAGAAAAAAGGGCAGCTTTGACGCTAATTCTCGCCTACATTGAAAAAAGCACTATTTTGTTGTCTTTTTTACTACAAAATTCTAGATTTAAAGAGGCGAATTACTGTTTAAACCAAAATTCAGTCCTACATTTGTCATTTACATGTACCGGTAAGCRTTTTATTTTTCACATTTTCCATAAACATCTCAAGCTACGGATTTCTCTAGCCTCTCTGCAGGCATCACAAAGAATCACGGGCTTCCTGTCTTGTTTGGGAGTCAAAAGAGGGAGAATGGGGCCGAGAGAGGGAAGGCGTGTCTTATTATTTTAACTTTCTCGTCACTAGTCCCTAAC